TCACTGCAGTTGGTTTGACTATCCAAGAGATGGCTCAGAAGCCCTCACAGCAGTTTGTTGATTCTAAAACCAGGAAACTGTTTTTGAAAGAGTAATACAGCTTCTATCAGGAAGATTTAACCTAAATAGTCAAGGAATTAAAATTGATACTGGAGTTGATCAGAGTTGTGAGGAAAAGCCTAAAGCTGTGATTAAATCAGAAATTATTAAGAGCGGCAATTGGGGTCCGCTACCTAAAAGAACTATGGGATGTTTCTTAGGAAAGTCCAACATAAATTATCAAGGTGTTGCTGGAATTATTGATCAGGACTGTGAAGAAATTAAGGCAGTGATAAATTCTGATGTACCATGGTTTATGAAGGAAGATCGCTTAAGCCAGTTTTTGCTTCCTTGCATCTCTAAAATAAAAATATATGCCTACCAGGAAAAAGTACTTAAGTCTGACCACCCTTTACATGAATGGGTATTTTGGAAACAGCAGCGCCCCCACATGGAATTAGAAATTGAAGCGGAAAAAGTTGTTAAAAAGCTCTGAATATGGAGTCATTGCCTTGGGGCATTCAGGAGAGCATAAGACCCGCCTATTAACTTCCCCTAAAGCCAGCATGGAGGGAATGAGTGAAGTTAACCAAGAGAGACTATTTCAAGATTGTAAAATCATACAGTGTAAGAAGCCTGAAGGGCAAAACGGTTTAATTGAGCCTATCACCTTATTGGTAAACTTGAAGAAAAAATGTCTGTTTGGTAAGTTACTTCAAGAACAGCTGAACAAATTTATTAAGAATTTTTTCAGTCTTTCAAAGTATGGTAAAAAGTTATCCCAATTAGTCAGCTTTCTTAATTCTCTGACAGCCAGGAGCCAAAATTTATATTTTAGCTCTCCAAATTCTCTGAGTACTGGCAGCCTAAATTTACATAACAATGACGGCTATATAACTAGTAGTTTTACTGGTTCAAGACCAAGCAAGGTAACTGAGACTGCCAGCAGTACTTTAATATCTGCATTGTTAAAACAGAAGGGGGAGAAGAGGAATCTTATGTATGATTAATTTCATTTGGTCAATTTAACCAAAAAATTTCTCTCCTTACTAAAAGCTTGTAATAAAATTAAGTTAGATAAACAAGAAGATGGGAACCGCGTTTGAGATCCGGGTCCATTCACCTGGAGAAAGGGCTATACTGTACATTAATATTTTTACAGAATAAAGCTGATGGACTCCGTTTAGAAGGACGTAACCACGTTTGGAGAAAGATGGACAAGGAAGAAAGGGAGAAGCCACCCAATCTTAATCATAATTCCTTTTGCAGGTTAATGACACCCCGAAGAGAGGGGCTATTTGTTTATATTTTCACAGGCAAAGGAGGTAGGTGGATTTCCCTTCAGCCAGCGAGGCCCAGACGAAAGGAGGGACGCCCATGCTGTGACATGACCCTGTCCCGTTATTGAAGTTACCCAAAACGTCAAGAAGACCTTGCAAATTCCTGAGAGTGGCGATCGCTGACTACAGAGATATTTCTTCCATACAAATGCCGTCTAAGGGACACTCTGGTGCTCTATCAAAACTGGACATTTTATACAATAGTGACTGGACTACTACTACAGACTGCTGCTTTGCTGAAAGATAAGGATTTTGGACTTGTTAATTAATGCTGTAATGTGATTGGAATGTAATTGAATTGTGTGTAACTCCTTACCTATATAATGTAACATTGCTTAATTGAGATTTGATTAGGAAACATTTGCAAGGGTTTAAGGGAAACATTTCATTAGATGTTTATCAGCTTAAAAAGGATATTTTCTATACATTCAAAGACAGACTCGAGGCATCTCCTGGCTCTGATATGATTAAGCAATTGGTGAAAGGCATGGAAGGGTTGGACCCGCAAGCTTGGGCTCAAAGCATTTCACATAGCTTAACTGCTAGTCTGACTGTATTACTTAGCATAATTTTGATGTTCGCAGTCTCGTGTTGCTTCTATGGGAAGCTAAGAGATGTGAAAAGAGACCATGTTGCCTCCGCGACACTATTAAATCTTGAACGCAATGCAGAAAGGGGAAATGTGGGATACTAGCACTAAGGGAAATAAAACTGGGACTTAATCCCTGACGTGTACGGAGGGAATCTGGAAAGCCAGTGTTCCATGGAAAGGAAAGCCACCACTCTGGAAGTTAGAGATGCAGTCCGAGTATATTTTCCTGCGGTAATCTAATTTTTTCCACAGTTTCTCCCTTAATGCTGTGCTGCCTTAAAGTGAGCACATGGTTAATTCATTCTCCCCATAGAAGCAGACATTCCTAATTGCTCCTTTTCTTCCCACCGCGGCATCCAGCCCCTCTCATACCCTCCTCCAATAGCAGATAGGCATAATGGGTCTTTATCCTTTAGGCCTGGATTCAAAATGTTTTCTATAAGCCTGAATTTTTGGCTATATTAATTGGATCCTGTTCCTCCCTGCTCCCACTACCATGACTTAAATTCGATCTTGCAAGTC